AAAAAAAAAAAAAAAAAGAAGTAGCGAGAACAAAAGCTGTGATGTAAAGACTTTCCGGTAAATCTTCCGGGACTTTGATCGAAGGACGTGACTTATGGAATGGAACGTGGTTTAATATTCACTTTGCATGACAAATCAGTAGTTGGGAGTCCATTTTTTGTTAAGCCATGACATCAAGGCACCAAACCGTGAAGTTTGCATCATTATTTCCTCTTTAGGTTTGGAAGAAAGAAGACAGTTTTCATCTCTTTCGGAGCTCAAGCCATCTCAGTCCTGTTGCAGTCCTTCTCCCAGTCATGGAGGATGTTCTGCATCATGTTCCTGTTTGTCGGAGCTTCCCAGATTTCCATCTACATCTCCGCCTTCGTATTAGGTATGATCTCATCTCTCTCGCCTCGTGTCTTTTTGAATAAGCATCTATTTTTTTTTCTCTACACCTGACAGGAACGGAGGTTTTGAGCAAGAAACTTCGTGTGATGTTCACAACGCTCGGAGCGTTCCTCTTCTACGGCATCGGCTACATGATTCTTCCATGGATTGCGTACAGCATCAGAGAGTGGAGAACCCTCCTCGCCGTTCTGGCTGCCACCTCTGTGGTCTACATTCCTCTCTGGTGGTATGCTACCGGAGTCACTCAAGAAACATCCGGGATTTCAAGTCACGGATCGTGATTGTGTGCTTACAGGTTCATCCCGGAGTCCCCCCGGTGGCTGATCACTCAGGGAAGAGTGGCGGAGGCCGAAGCCATTGTCCGAGACGCTGCCCGGAAGAACAAAGTTGAGGCGCCGCTTGTTATCTTCAGAGGATCCGAGGTGGAGTTTCCGCGTGCCATTTCATAAGTAGCGTTTACGCTAAGTTTCTTCAAAATTGCCACGTCGGATAAGAATGGGAGAGCAAAGATGGTGACAAGTACCGCTTACACATCGGAGAAAGTGGGAAGTGTCACATAACAGCGGCATGGGCAAAAAGGTGGCTTGGAAGACAAGTGTCGACAATGCCGGTTGATATATTTCGGATTTTCCTTGCCTCTCCAGTCACTGCCGCCGGGCAAGACGTACACCATGCTTGACGTCCTGAGATCCAAGAACGTGAGATGCATCACGCTGATGTGTCTTGTTCTGTGGTGAGCACCATCACAAATAAATCACTGGGAACTTCGTTGCGCAAGCTGCTGAATGTTCCATCTTTGATCCCAAACAGGATGGCCATCAACGTGGGCTATTTTGGTTTATCCCTGAACACTTCCAACCTCAGCGGCGATCCCTTCATGAACTGCTTCTTGTCGGCAACCACCGAGGTCCCCGCCTACATTGTGTCCACGTGGCTCCTCAAGAGATGTCCCAGAAGGGCTTTACTCTCCACCTTTCTGGCCATCGGTGGAGGAGTCCTGCTGCTCATCCAGTTCATACCGCCGAGTAAGTC